GATCTTAAAATTATTTCAGTATAAATTAGAAATGTAGGTGTAATTTACCCTAACTAGGAGTTGAGAGAGATATGGTGGAAAAATTGGATCGGGTCAACGTAGTAAATTCAAAATTAATGAGGCCAAAATATCTTAATTAGAATTATGCTGGTGTGCACATAGTATTAAATAATAGTTTATTGATAAAAAAATCATAATGTCATCATATTTTTCTTTCAAATGTCCATTCTTAATTCATTTGAAATTTGATTAGTAAAATGTGCATAAGCCTAGGGTATTATTTGCGGTCGATCGTTTGCTTCATTGGCTCCCCCTCTCACCTTTGATACTATTATGAGTTAATTGCATACAAACCCCTGTCTAATTTCATATTGACGAAAAAATCCTCGTATTAAAAACATTAGCGATGAACCCCTATGTTATATTTTATGAAGCACACTGCCCCTTTATATGAAAATTTGTAAGCTAATAGCACGGACCCCCCTGTGCTATTTGTAATTGTTGAAAAAGTTCTTATGTTTTAAAAATTAACAAAAACCCCCCTATATTTTATTTTAAAAAACACACAACCGTACCCCTTATTTAAAAATTAGTTGTTGACTTACGTGCAATGACTCTAATGTCCCTACTTATTTTTGCTAATATTTTAATTTTGATCAAACAAAATAAAAGAAAATATAAATTAATATATATTAAAAAAAAAAAAAAACAAAGGGACTCTATCTTTTTCCCGTCAGCCCTCATCTCAACCCGCCATTTTACTCATCTTCTTACAACAAATTCTGCCAAAAAATAACACCAGACACACAAAATTGAAAAAAATCGACCAAATTCTTCCTTAAAGAATGTAAAAAGATGTTTGGAAGAGAAAACGGTTATCTCCTATTCATTGAGTCACAACCCGTATATATACATGAGTAAGAAAGAAATCCTAAACACCTACAAATCCTACCATAGCTAGAAGATTATATTCCTATATAAATTAACTACCTAATATACGTATAATATAATCTTACGTATCTACACAATATCGTATCTAAATCGTATCTCAATACTCTCCCTCAAGTTGGCGCATGAAGATTGTGAATGCCCGACTTGCGAATAAATTGATCAAATTGAGGTTTACCGAGTCCCTTGGTCAAAATATCGGTCAGTTGTTCATACGTGCGCACATGTGACATAGCAATATTTCCCTTCCGGACCTCATTGCGAACAGAATGACAATCGATCTCAATATGTTTCGTTCTTTCGTGGAAAACCGGATTGGCAGCGATATGCAACGCGGCTTGACTATCACAATACAAGTGCATTGGATTGGCATGCGAAATACCAAGAAACTTCAAAATTTCCTTCAACCATTTCAATTCGCAACAGGTTGTGGCCATTGAACGATACTCGGCCTCAGCCGATGATCGGGAGACAGTATGTTGCTTCTTCGTCTTCCAGGCGACAGGTGATCCACCCAACATCACAAAGAAACCCGTCAATGAGCGACGCGTCAATGGACAACTACCCCAATCCGAATCACAGTACCCATACAAATGCAAATCGCTATCAGAACGCAGCAACACACCTTGTCCAGGACGCCCCTTCAAATAGCGTACGACACGCAAGGCAGCCTCCCAATGATCTTCTCTCGGATTCTGCATAAATTGGGCCAAAGTATGCACACAATAACTAAGCTCTGGCCTGGTTATCGTCAAATAAATCAGCCTACCGATTAATCGCCTATATTTCTCTGGAGCAGTCATAAGAGGTTGTTCTGATAAGGCGAGACGATGATTTTGCTCGATCGGAATAGAAGCTGGTTTGGCCCCTAACAGCCCGGTTTCAGCGACAATGTCCAGCGCATACTTGCGTTGACACAAAAAAATTCCCTCTGAGCTACGGCTTACTTCAATCCCGAGGAAATATTTAAGTACGCCCAGATCTTTCATATGGAAACAACTTCCAAGGTACTTTTTGAGATGATTCACGGCCATAGAATTATTCCCAGCAATGACTAGATCATCAACGTATACGAGCACACTCAAGCGAATAACATTGTTATAATATGTGAAAAGCGAGTAATCCGAATACGATTGAATAAAACCGTATTTTTTCAAAGCCGTTGCCAATTTTGTAAACCAACACCACGGAGCCTGTCTCAACCCATAGAGCGATTTCTTTAGTTTGCACACCTTTGTTTGATCAGCAGAAGCGCACCCTGGAGGTAATTTCATATACATCTCCTCACTTAAATCACCATGCAAAAATGCATTATGTACGTCCATTTGGTGGAGTTCCCAATTTTTTGCTGCAGCTACAGCCAAAAAAATCCTCAAAGTTACCATTTTCGCCACCGGCGCAAATGTTTCGTTGTAGTCAATTCCTTCTTGTTGGTTGTTCCCAAGTATAACCAAACGGGCCTTGTACCTCTCAATACTCCCATCAGACTTGTACTTAATTTTATATACCCACTTCGACCCTATAGCCTTCTTACCGTAAGGTAGAGTCTCCAACGTCCAAGTCCCATTATTTTCCAAAGCTTGTATTTCTTATCTCATAGCTTCCCTCCATTTTTTGTCTTTCGTTGCTTCAGAGAACCGAGTGGGTTCGAAGCCTGCATCAATCTTAGCCACGAAAGCTCGATGCCTAGCAGAAAATTTATCACACGTCACATAATTAACTATGGGATAAAGAGTAGTACCTGAGGGTCCTTTGGGAGAGTCGGGTGTCGTGCATACGGGGTCATAAGAGCATCGAGCGTTATATGTGACAAAGTCCTTCAACAGAATAGAAGGTTTGGGATCTCTACAGCCTTTTCCCAAACGCTCAAGTGCGGGCTCAATTGCAGTTACAACCGCCACTTCTCCTATTTCCCCGGTGCCATGGTGCACTACTATATCTTGAACTTCTGCCGTGTTACTCCCCCTCACGTTGTGCGCGTTACTACCCAACTCATTCAAGTCATCGTCAACAAAGACGTCGTCGAACTGCCGCAACGTGTTATCAGATTCGAGTGAGACGGGCGATGCAAAGGGAAACACATGTTCTGTAAACACCACATCACGAGAGATTAAAAATTCTCCAGATTCTATGTCGTACACTCTCCATCCTTTCTTGCCGTGATGATAACCCAAAAAAATGCATTTTCTACTTCTTTCCCCAAATTTATCTTTGCCTCGATCAACCCGATGGGTATAGCAAAGACAACCAAATGTTCGCAAGAGCGCGTATTGTGGTGGTTTTCCAAACAACAACTGATATGGAGTTTTGCCGCCAAGTAACGAGGAAGGAGTTCTGTTTATTAGATAACTTGCAGTCATGATACACTCACCCCAAAATCGAATAGGCAAATTTGCCTGAAAACGCAAAGCTCGAGCAACATTTAGAATATGTCTATGTTTGCGTTCCACACGACCATTTTGCTGGGGTGTCCCGGCACACGACGTTTTGTGGATAATTCCATGTGTTTGAAAGTACGATTTCAAGCACAAGAATTGGGTTCCATTATCACTTCGAACAGTTGAAACTTGCTTCTTAAATTGACGCTCAACCATAGCACAAAATTTTTTAATTGTTTGTTCAACTTCTTTCTTTTCAATTAAAAGATAAACCCACACATCTCGGGTTTGTTTTGCTCGAAAACAAATATCGCAATGATCTTGATTGTTGCTACTACTAATACTACTTTCAATTACTGGAAGAAAAGAAAATATCTGCTTGGACAGATGCCCAAGTCGTCGGTGCCACAATTCCTGCTCATCTAATCCACTAGCTTTACAGGCTCGTGCCGGTGTGATTGCTCTAAAAAGATAGACCCCGTTGCACTGCTCACCCGCTCCAATCAGGATCCTCGAGGTGCGGTCCTGTATCACGCATAATTCATCAGTAAAGGTGACAATGCAATTCAA